AACAAGGATCAAAGAGAAGTTAAAAAGGCCTCTTCAAAGAGCCGGGCTTCGAAGACGCTCATATTCAAAGACGTGTTTATTTGGAAATAAAACTTGGAAACAAGCCGTAGAGAGGGCGAAGCGAAGGAAGTTAGCGAAACGTGGTCGGAAGGCTAAGGGGAACGTGACAGGATCAAGCACAGGTGCGGCAGGAGGGAATGAAGGAAGGAAAATAAAGAAACAAGAGAGAAAGAGTGGAAAAGATGACACAATTTTAAAAGTGGATATTACAAAAGAACACAGCAAGGATGGAACTGTTAAAGAGGCGAAAATGAAAGCAAAAACGGTGGGGAAACGGAGACATCGAAGGAAAATCAAGAGCCACATGGAGGGGTCAAGCAAAAGGGTCTCAAGGAAAGATGGAAATAAAATGAAAAAGCGACAGAAACATAGTGGAAAAGATGGCACAATTTTAAAAGCGGAGACCACAAAGGAACACAGCAAGGACGGAACTGTTAACGAGGCGAAAACGAAAACGTTGAGGAAACGGAGACAGGGAAGCAAAATCAAGGATGGCACTCTTGCGAAAAAAAGAAGAAAAGAAGCTTACAATAATGGAGGAATAGAATTATTAAACCGAAGAAGGAAAAGGAAAATAGCTGCAAGGCAAGATGCAGTTCAAAAGATTACAAGGAAAGGCGAAAAAAGTCGCGATGAAATGGGAAAGAAAGGGAAACAGAAAAAAATTGGCGAAGATGAATTTGCTATGGAGAAGCCAAGAATTCAAGGCCATAATATAAACTCGAAAGGAGTGGAAGAGACGCTGAACCTCGGAACAAGCTATCACGCAACAGAGGCGGGAGAGAACAACAACAAAACCTACGGTAGAAATGAAACACTTACATTGGAAAAAAGAAAGAGAAAAACTGGAAAACACGACACAAAACAAGAGACCGAGACCAAACAGAATGCGATACTTAAAGGGAGAAAACGCAGAAGAAAAGGAACAGCAGAACATGCAGATTATATGAATGACATTGACCAGATTTTTAGCGTTTTGAGTGATTAAATAATCGACGCTTTTTGGCCCAAAAAAATTTGTTTGCTTTATGTACGGCAATGTTGAGTAAAATGAGGCTTTTCATAGCATCATCAGAGGGACAAAAACTGCTCATGTGTAGCAGGTGTTCAGAAAACAAGATGCGAGAAGGGTGCAGGTGTGTTTGACCGGAAAAAGGAATCGGCGAAAAAATTATAATGATTTTGCGCAGCGCGAACTCCGAGAAATGAGACGAATGCTTTTGACTTACACTTCGGACTAACAGGGGAAAAGAAGCTGCTCGTAGTCAGTGGTTAATTCGTCCTTAAGCCATATTTTTATCTGTCGATCCTATAGACATCTTTCTTTTCTGTGCGCACGGCAGGCTATTTGTTTTCGTTTTCAAAAGCATGAGGGCACTGGTAGTCATGCGAAGGAATGGGGCGAGAAAGAAGCAAAAGTATGTCTCTGCGTGATTCGGCAGCTCCACATATTCCACAAGAATAAGAAAAGAAACTTTCACAGCCAAAAAGCTCGGGTTCTTTGTAACGTCTGATTCTAGTGACATAATTTTGAGTTTACCTTCGTCGTTGTTTTGAGCCAGAGCCGCAACTAGTAGCAAAACAATGAATAACATTGTCAGAAACAAAACAGTTTCGAGGGCCGCTTGAGAAATGGGTGCTTTAACCAAACAATTGTGCCACAAGATCATTTAAGAACCAGCGAGACCCAAAATAAGCGCTGCGGACGTTCGGAGATTCGAAAAGAAATCTCGTTTTCGTACCCCACCAAATATTCATGATAGACCGTTAAAATCGTCGTCAAATTGCAGGTTTGGAAGAACACCATAGAAAGGCACAGAACTTGGGAGATATTGCTCGAGATCTTTTCTGATTAATGAAACCATTCCACGATTCCGTGACATCTAAGGAAGTACTTATGACTTGGCCAACACACTGAGCGTACTTAACATAGAAAACATGATTTATTAGTATGGGTACGAAATGACTCGACTGACTGAGTATGACACGACTGGTAACCAAGTGTCGCAAGATCACAATGCTGTCAAAAGACTTTCACCTGGAGATTTCTAACTTTCAAGACCCGAAAAGCTGTTAGTTGGTAACGAAATTTTGAGTAACAAACGGATAAAAATATTTTATCCTCACTTTTCCTCACACTTCGTCATAGGTTCGCTCGCATGTTAGGCGCAAAATAAATGACGCCAAAATATGCCGTTTGCCACGCAGGGTATCAAACGTCAGACAAGAGTAAACTAAATGGAAAGGTCAATTTACGCTGGCCGCGCGCTTATATCCCTGCAAAATTTTAATGGAAGACAATGGAACAACTAGTGGTAGGCAAAAGTTCCAAATGAGTGAAACATTTTGTGCATCAGTCATTTGAAATGCTGGCCTCTCTGCCCCTGGGAGGCGCTGAGGTTTACGTGACTGATGGATTAACGAGGTGAAATGAAACAAAGGAAGGAAGAGGGAAAACTTAAGACTTTCTGAACACAAAGCTTATTGATTTACCATACGCTGTTGATTTTAAATAATATTTCAAAATTCATCAAAATAATTGCTAACATTTGTCGTTAATTTTTACTCCATGTGTGACACCTCGTCTAGTTGGCTTTCAACATTCGCACATACGAGAACTTGAAATCGTTCACAACAGTAGCAGTATTAGTAGGACGATTCCGTGATCCAAGGAGGATACTGCATGTGGATGCAGCTACTTATTTTAAAAAAACCGCAGCAACAACAACAACAAAAAAAAACACAAAACAAAACAATATAAGTGGAATGAACTTAGGGTAAAACGTTCAAATGACATTCACAGCAGGTTGACCGGTTTGTGGATTGTGTTCAACAGCGCCTAATAAGATTTTGATGAGTATGAAATTTACCTTTTGGTGTTTTTAAGTTAGCACGAGTATTTAATCTTGATTAATCATATATATAAAGCATTGATTGTTTTTGATCAGAAGAACCACCTATTTCAAAAGTCCCATATGTTTGCTGAAAAATACTAACCCGACCTCCTGACACATACTAGTGTTGCCTTCCTGTATAATTTGGACGAAATATCGGCACACTCACACCAATACCTTATTTTCAGGCAATATTCAGATTTTTGGACGCACGCAATAACTTTGTAAAAAGCGATTAAGAACTCTGTCTTGCTCTCAGGGTTTCCTATAATCTTAATTTTCCTCCCATTGGTCCACCGACTAATTACTGAAGAATATTTTTATTCTGATTGGTTGAATAACTCTCTCAGTTCTCACACTATCATTAGAGCAAAAGTCAAGCGCGTATCGCAAAAGAACTCATTAATAGTTGTCTGCTCACGCAGCAAGTAAACCTCCGACTGTCGCGAAAAATAATACCAATCAGGTGAACTTAGAAATCATGAGTTTGACACATTTTCTTCTCCTAACAGTCCTTGATTTTGTAGGAGTTTACTTTAACATGCGGATGTTAACATACTGCTTCAAAGACAAAACGAAATACAAGTTTCTTCAAAAGTGTAGAGGATTGTCCATTTTCCAGTGTGCTTGCCAGTTTGTGATTGTGATCACGGGAGCAGTTGATTCGTGGCGGATTTTCAACGATCGTAGTTACAATCCAGGACAACCGTATAATGTTGTCAAACTGTTTTCGATTTCTTTCACGTTCGTTCAGGCCTGCAACTTGACAGCGATTCTGTGCATTGATTCTGAACATCCACTGGTCACATTTCGACACCAAGACAGATGTTCAAAACTGAAAATAGCAGCAGCAGTGACTCTTGGGCTGATTGGCTCCTCAATGATTTGGTGGTTTAGTTGTTTTCCTCATTATTATATTTCAGTAACGGTATTCATCACCGTCCGATTTATTTTCATTGCTTTGTTCATCATTCTGTTGTTGGCTGCGGGTTTCAAATATCTCAAAGACGACTTCGAGGACACTACTTCAAAAGTTTTTATAGACTGCGAGGTGCTGTGGAACATTTGCAAGGAAAACAAACGGCCCACTTTATTTATAGCTACGTTACTTCTGTGCTTGGTGATGGTTCTCAGCGGCTTTCTTCTCGATCGAGAAAAACATGCATTGATGGTCACAAATTCTGAAATTATTTACGATTTCATCATGAGGTTTGTTGTGGGAATTATTTTGCCTGTTACATTCAGTGACTTAATTGAACAGTCCAGCTTTGACGATGAAGAGGCTGTGGAAACCATGATTGTTTAAAGGAACTCCTTCGGCTAACTGAGAGGGAGTCGCGAACTGTTTGGGACTGGGGGGATCTAGTTTTATCTTTTTATTTTCAAATCATAACTCGGTTTTTAGTTTTATTTTTCCCGCACGCGATCAACGAAAACAATGATATTGTGATATTTTAAAGCATTCAAAAGTATAATAGAAGCACCAGTGGTCTGATACCATAAGTATTGAATGGCACGTAAATTAATACTCTAGTCAGCAACTTATCTTTGTCACGCAATCCAGTTCTGCTACTCCTCAAAGCTTTAAAGAATCTAACTTCATTAAAGTAATTTGATATTATCAACTGAGTTGATAAAGTAAATTGGCCGCCGTGAAGATTTTCAAAGCTGACGCTTCGCGTGATTCGCTCTGACAAAGGGCTAATGCTTGAAATGTCAGCTTTGAAACTTCAGTTACGGTGGCCAATAACAACAAATTACCTTGATACTCTCTCAACGACGCAGCACCACAGTTTCTTTAGAACCACAGTTTCCTTTATTCATTCGCCTTCATTAAAGATCTGATGAATACAGAAAGATCAAAGAAAAAGTTTTGATAAAAATGAAGACAACACTAAATTTTTTCATGAAGCTTTTGAGACGCATTTTAAAGTATTTAGTGACATATCAATATATTTCTTCGCTTCTACGAAAAGAAAAGGTCATTGTAACAAGTGTTTATACATGTCACCAATACCACAAAACAAAGGACTTTGACGGCGCACATTGTATAAAAGAATGGTTTATTACATCGTTCCGACTCACTTTTTCGTATTAAGCGTTTTTGAAAAGTCCCACGTCATTCAAAAGAGTAGTCTTTATTTTTTTGCGTCTTTCAGACTTCCGGATGCAAGCAAAAACAGTTCACAATTAAGCGAAAATATAGACAAATTTTAACCTTTAGTCTTAGAAACAATTAACGATAAAAAAACTTTTTCTGGGTATTACAATGGAAAGATATTAACCGTTAGCCTTAAATTAACCGAAAATTAACTGTTAGCCGCAAAAACCAAGACCCCTTTAAACACCAACTGGCTTGTTAGTCCTTGTTTTGCCTTCACTTGAAACAGTTCAGCAGAATTTTTACTTTCACGAAGGTTCCTGCCAAATGGAAGTTCAAGATTGTTGCGAAGGACAGATAAGTAAAACATGATTTGTAAATTTCATGTGAATAAAGATCTCCTACCTAACTTTGCTTTTTAATGGTTGTAATTGACGTCGCGTCTCTAATGGCTCACCACTTGGAAAGTGAATCTCAGAATTAAAATATATATTTTTCTTTTTGTATAGAAAAATGTGACTTCAGGAATCGTCTTGAGCGTTTGAACTAGTGATATCTGCGACATGGGACTGGAATGCCTTTCTGCAAATAATGTTCAGCATATTATCCTTCACTTCCTACCCGCTTCGGAAGATTTTTTCTCTTTCGACTGATCCTTGTGTGCTACTGCTACTCAGCTCACGTTTTTCCCGCGAAAAGGAAAAGGAAACGATTGTCACGGAAGCCTAAGAGAGTATTGAAATATATATTATGACGAATTACGAATTTGCAACAGGCAATATTATAAAGAAAAAATCAATCAATATTCTTATCAAAGAAAGAGAAAGACTGAAACGACATTCACAGACTTATCACGTGGTTCCGCAGAGTGATATATCTTATAAGTCGTTTTAACGCGTGGTATCACTGAATATTTTTAAGAGTTGTACCGTATTACTTTTGACGAGCCCGTAAGGTGAGTCAAAATATAAACAACGAGTAAAAATACTCAGCAATACTACACACATAAACGATTGATGAGCTAGTTATTTATTATCCAACTCTTGATTTTATGCGCATTTCTAACAAGGGGGAATTAATAGCAACTGTGCAATATCGTACGATATTTGTTCTCGACTCGCTCTTTTTTTAGTACAGTTGGACAATAATAACAATATTAGTCACCGTGGATCTAACAACATTGGCAACAATATTTTCAAAGAAATTCTAAACTTAGCACTATTAGTATTACAAATCGACGATTTCCCTTTTTATAATCTAATTACCCAGATGTTAGCCCAAATGATATCTTCACTCAAATTTCTACTTTCCAAAAACTATCGAATATAGTGCCTCTGACGTCAACCCTATCGCCATTCTTTGAGGAAATAGAAGTAACGAAGAATATCATGACATACTGAGAGTCAATGAAATGTAAATAAGAGGCCGTGTGTTTCTTTACTTTCCAAAAAAAGAAAAACTCCTAAATAAAGATCGAGTGAATCTATCTGGCTATTAAGCGATGGTCTACTTCAGTTTCTGTAACTAATGGCGAAGTTACCTTTTAAATTGATGCAGGCACAATTGATATGGTGGCTTTGTCTTTCTTTCCGGCATAGTTTGAATCGATCAAATCATACAGGGTTACCGGTAAAACTGTTCCCACACAGAATTTTATAATCAGTAGATAAACAATTCCGTCGAACGACGTTTCTCTTTTCAAATCCCGATCCCACAAAGCTGTTTCGAAACGAGCGCGGGCCACTTCGCTGAAAATGAGCACCAAACATACCGTAAACAAAACGGTGAAGAATAAGGACTTCTTGCTTTCTTTCCAGGCTTTCCACAGCCATGACGAAAAACGCGACTTCGTCGAGGCGTCTGATTTTAATGAGGTGACTTCCTTGTTGTATTCAGCATCGTTTTTATCCAAGGCTACGGAAAGCAGGTAGAAGATAAGAAACATGGTTAAAATCAATTCAACTTCTACGACGGCTTGAGAAATAGACGTTTGTGAGAAGCAACCGTGCCATAAGAAAATTGCGGAACCGATGAATCCCAGAAGAAGCACTGCGTATACCAAAAGGTAAGAAAATGATCTCCGTTTTTCGTGTCCTACGGGATGTTCATAGTACACTGTTATGATTGCCGTCAGGTTACAAGTTTGGAAAAACATCATTGAAAGGGAAAGAACTCTTAAAACATTACAGGACTCTGTAGGTTGAATGCGGAAACCTTTCCACCACTCTGCGGTATCTGCGCCAAGAATTGAAACTTGGCCAGCGGCCTGAAGACTTGCTAATATCCGGCACTTTTGAATAAACTTCTGCTTTGTTTTGTCTTTAAAGCAGCTTAGTAATAGACGTCCGTTGAAAAAGACTGCGGCTACATCCAGAATGGATATCAAAAGAAAAGGTGACACGGTTAAGGACATGATGCGAGAACGACGTCTTCCTCTCCTCAGTACGTGGCTGAAATAAACTGTATTGGCTTGTTCCTTGAGAGCACACTCCTATCTTAACAGCATCGAGGAGGGCCAGGAGAGATCTGTACAAATATGATAAATGAGCGGTTACCTGATCATTATGCTAGGTTATATTGCGCTCCTGATTTGTCGAAAACGAACGTATAAATAGGTTGCGGGGTTTTGAAATTCACGACACTTCATGAAAAGTGTGAGCTGCCATGGTCTTAACCCTTTACCTCGCATGAGTGACCAATTTTGAGAGTAAAAATTTACTCTAACACTCGTTGTCTTGTCGTCTCTTTCTATATTCCTTATTACTGCACTAGTTATTATAACGGGGACTAGCTCTGATCTCTCAAGGAAAGTGGGGGTCACCGCTTATAAAGGTGACACTTACGGAGCTGTCAATCTCTAGCCTTCGTCATACTATTACACTTAAATAGCGAATCACGTTGGGCCACGCAGAACGGAGTTCGCATACTAAGTATATACCTTCGTGATGTTGACGCTTTAGGAAATGTCTTTCTAATTTCTACGCGCTAGTCGTATAAGTTATCTAATTACAAATTCAGTGCGGAAGATGAAAAGCACTACATGTTTACAGCTAAAGTCACCTCTAAGAAAAAGAGGTGTCACACGAGTTAAATTAAAAGCTGAAAACTATTTTCCTGATCGGGAATTCTACATGGATTTAGTCTAAAAACGAGAGTATTAAATGGATAAAAGTATAAAGGAGAGATATTTCCAGGAAATTCCTATACGGGATCAATTTTTATAGGGTAGAGTCATTTTCTTCGTAATTAATCATTATGAAAATATACCGATATCTAGCCGCAAACCGCAGTTTACGCAAAAACATCTGTCTCTATGTCAAATTCACGATCGTAATAAGGAAAAGGTGACCAAACTCTACCTGTAAGGTAAGACCGCCAAAAGGGATAAGAAATGATCAACTAGCCTATTACAATGTTTACTGAATGGCTTATGCAAATACCGTGACAAATGACCGTTCGAAAACTGCACTCAAATGAGATAAAAAACGCGAATTAGCAATTTTTTCAGAACAATTCAGCAAAATAATTTCGCATGCAAAAGCACAGTGCACGGTTCTAAACAAAAGCTGCTGCCCTGATTAACGAAAAAAAATCAGTTTACAAACCACTCTCGCCCCGAGGAATTTGACGAGTTATTCTGGTTGAGGTTTTTGGTAAGCGAAAGCCCAAATTTGCCGATACAGTCGTGAAAATGGCGCACTTGTGTTATTGATGGTCCTGTTCACTGCATTAATTCAAAGCAAAAATCTGACCAACAAATAAAAGTTTACCTATTCCTATTTCCTTGCCTGCTCTGACAAAGGGTTAACGCTCAAAATGTAAACTTTAGAAACCCTCTGGCGGCCAAACTGCAGAATACCCGGCCACTTTGCTCCGCCTCACTTACGTGTGGCGGGAGGCTTTGAAGGATCGAGGTATAACACAATGGACGCTATTCTTATTCAATGATCAGCTCAGCTGATAAAACCACATTGTAGGAGTTTACCTGTTGTCGGGGCTAGCACTTTCTTTGGCAGGAACTTTCTGAGAGATGTATGTTCAAAGCGCACACGGCTGCAGTGGTCGGCAAGTGCAACGGTAAAAGTTCCGAACACATTATGAATTCAGTTCTTGGATAGAGAAAACAACGAAAAAAACAATACATTGCCATTGGGAAAACAGATTTGTTTAAAAATAGTATGGGGCTGTGCGGAAATTTTACCAGTGCAACTTTTAATCAAAGCCATCAGCGATATTTTTAGCAAGAATGCATAGGCAAATACTGTATTTCCAATTTAGCGATATTCTTCTTGATTGCGTCTGAGTTTGTGCTTCTGTCAGTCAGCATGTGAAAACCAAATAGTACATGGGCGTCACGCAACGTTGCCCTTCGTGAACGGAACGCGTTGTACGACAACGATATTATCTTTTCGGTCATGCAAACCAAACCAATTATCGTAAACTGACTCATAATCTATTAATCTCCCATCAAAGAAGGCTCGTCATCAAGACTGCAGTTTTACTTTCGACAATTTAATGGCATGGATTGGTATGATTACGAGTCTCCGATACATCGAGTATCTATCACGTCTCTGAGCAGTGCTGTTTTTATACTAACTGGATAGTAACTTTGCTCTTCACTGTTTTCTGCATTTTTTTTTCTGAAAAACAAGACCGAAGTTTGTAAGGCTTTAGGAAAGAGTGTGAATGAGGGTAATGTAATTCAAAAATACTTATGGGATCACAGGCGGCCCGAGCTCCAGCTGTGAGATGATCATCTTGCGCAATAACAGTCATGGCGGAATTATTAGAGTTTGTATGGGAATATTTGCGATCGCTTTAACGAATTAAAAAATGCGTCAAATTCTCAATAAAAATAGCTTACCTTACTTCCACAGCGTATCGCTTGTTATCTGACCGCTTACTTTGATGAAAAGAACCCCTTTTAGCGAGTTGTCCCTTTCGAGGTTTTCCACGTACATAAGAAAGGCCTTCTTATGTACGTTGCATCCTTGACACTTCTAAGAAACAACTCTATCAGATTCTTCAAAGCTCGTCTTGAGAAGGTCACATGCCCAAAAATCCTAAGTTACAACGCAAGGGCGAACATCGCGATCGATGAAGGTTTTTCAATCAGATATCAGTCTGAGCTCGATCCGAAAGAAAGCAGAACGTGACCCTATTGGAGCGCTGGTGAAATTTCACCACAGCCGCATCAAGAGACTTACAACAAAGCTAAAGAAACTAGAGTAAGCAAAAACTAGAGAGGTATATGTAACAGAAATTTCAAAGAACGTAGAATCAGAGGACATAGTATAGGCGCAAGAATTTGTATTATTATGTTTTTGTTGTTTTTTCATAGTTTGGTGTTAAGTGTTTTGTTTCTTGTCTTCATAAGTGTCCTTTGTCAGTTGCCAGTTTTGTAATTGTTATATTTATTTGCATATTGTACATATTCCGTTCGCGCGTAATTTATTTGGTTAGTTGTCTAGTTTGCGTAACATATCGGCACATATCGTGCTTTGGGTTTCATTTTTTCGTCTTTTGGTTTGGTCACATTCGTCTTGTAAGTGTCCTTGTTTATTTCGCTTTGTCGTTTTCCAGTACTTTCACTCATACGTTGTAAGTTGTTTTATGCTAATTCGCGTGTTTGTAATTTTGTTATTTTCAGTTACCGTGTTCAACAATGTGTCATGTCAAGTTTATTAAATTTTCGATGAACGGAAGTTTGTTCTAGTAAAGTTTGAATACGAGTGATTAGCGTTTGCAGCTATACGTAGATTCAATCCATTTGAAAGCGAGTGATGTAAAACAAATTATAGCCACGGAATCGACGACACCTAAACAGCTTCTCTTATGTACGTGGAAAACCTCAAAATGCACAACTCGCTAAAATGGGTTCTTTTCATCAAAGTAAGCGGTCAGATAACAAGTGATACGCTTGCGATGGAAGGCAATTTGGCTATCAATTCAAATACTTGCCAAATGCTTGCATTTTACAGATTTTTTATGCCAAACGTTTTGGGCTATTTGCAAAGCAATATCGATTAAGCCACTTTAAACTGTAAATCACATGTCGAGAGAAGCTCAAGGCATTGAATCTACGCCAGAATTATTCTTCGAGGGGAGGGGGGCTTTTTCCTTTTAAAATTTACACTGATTTTCCCTGCATTCATCTAACTGGTGTCGGATTTCTGTGGGAGATTTTTTTTTACCAATTATTTTGCATTATCAGCCAACCTTAACTTTCTTGTAATTTGGATATGATACAAGGATCACACCACCATGGCAGGAGTGAACTTTAGCCTATCACGTGTAAAATATATTGAGGAGTAAGGCTTTTGTTTACACTCTTTAAAATATTGTCATTCATTCGCTTGCTTTTTGAAAAAGAAAATTAGACTTGAATTTGGGAATCGCACTGAAAGTTAATGACCTGTGTTGGGACGACTGGAGTGAAGAATGGCCATAGCCCTCTGTAGTTTAAAGTTTTGAAGTTTACTAATTCATAAATACACAGCAGTTCCAGAACTGAATTGCGCATTTACATAACAAATATTAATGTCTACAAATCTGATCATAAACAAATCTATCTTAAATAAAAGGATGAAAAAAAAAAAAATCTGGCAAGACATAAGCTGTGTGTAAAACTTCTGAAAAGTTGCTGCTTAATGATGTCCATGATTAATAAATAAATTTCAAGTTAGTTATAGGGACGGGTCCCTACACAATATTTTTTGAGTTTATTTCAAATTAAATCATTTACTTAAGGATCAGACAATGGATACGTCTAGACCGTTCGTCACTTTATGCTTATTTCTGGTGGATCGATCTGCAGAGGAAACCATAAACGGCAAAGTCCTTTGACTGTCAATTTTACGGTCCAATTGAACAAAAACAAATTCTAATTTCCATTTAGTGAGCTACTTTTTCGTGGCTAAAGTACAAAATACAGGCCCACTTTAAACCAACCTTCAAACAAGCCGGCTCAGACCGTTCTGTTACGCACATATTCTGCATTCCTTGTTCTTTCGTCCGTTGCCAAGCCAAACGAGTCACAAGACATATGTTCCTTTGAAAGTGGCCTTGTTTTATGAAGTTGTTTATTTTTCGCTAATAGCTTATCTTCCCGTTATAAAACAGATGCAGTAACAGTTTAAAGTTTATTTCCCACATAGCTCGAATTTATCAAATCATGCAAAGTCATCGGTAAAACGATTCCGACTGCAAATTTGGTGATCACTGAAAACATAATCTCCTTAAAAATTGCAACTTCTTCCAAATCTTTATACAGCAGTGATTCCAAGTGGGGTACGCCGCTGAGGATTAACACCAGACAAGCTAGTAACAACATTGTGAAAAACATGGGCATCTTGTTCTCCTTCCAAAATCTCCATGCTGATGAAGAAGTGTCGGTCGCCAACTGTGACTCTGTTGAGTCGGTTTCGAGGTTTTTGGTAAGAGTT